CTTCACACGAAGTGCAGATACATGATCAAGTCTTCGAATGCCGCAGCGTGGATGGACTCTTGTCGAATTGTCTATGAGATCAGCTTCGCACTGCAACCGTAACCCAAATTCCAAACATTTGGGAATGATCAAAAAGATGGTGTTTGGGTGCCCCATTTCATCATGTAAGCATAAGCCTAGAGCCAAACCTGTAGTAAAAGATGTAGATGCTGGGATCTGATCATCGATAACGACAACCTACCTGACAAACATAGAAACAATCGGTTTTCTGCGCCATGCATTTCATTTAAACCTTGCACAATTTTAAGTGATTTGATCGGAACAGAAGACCGATATTATGCCAAAACATTACATACTCGCTTAATGTTACGATAAATCAGTTTGCCGCCATAAACTAACGCTACTGTTGTAAGCGCAGCTTCCTAGTTCCAGCAGTACTTCCCAGTCTGCATCATCAATAATATGCTGCCGCTACCTCGCCAACATTACAACAACCTTGTCAGAAAGTTATTTTCGAGTGATTTTTACTCGTCACTCAGTGTCCTCATACTTCTGTCACTTCCGCACAATTTGAAAACAACGCAAATAAACTCACATATTATCGCCTCTTATAATGTACAGTCCAAGTGGAATCTGTTCAACACCTTGAGTTTCTGAGTAAACGCGCTCATGTGAATCCTCGAGAACAACGTTGACCAGCTGATCGAAACCCTGAATTGCAGAATCAGCTATGTTCACTTCAAGGCTCGATAGTGGGAAAATTCTGAAACCTAGGTGACCATTACTCAACTTTTAACAATCTCATGAGTACATTGCGGGAAATGTATTTGGTGATTGGTGGAATTCTCGAGAGCTTCACAATCATACCAGGTAAGTCACACTTGGTGGCACTCGTGGAATTTATCGTGCTTGCATAGCATCAGGGGTGATAGAAAAAATTCAACGAGAAAATTTCGCCAACCTTCATCATGCCAACAATATTCCTTCCATCACCTGTGACAACAGATATAACTCGATTCATAAAAGTATCCAAGGTAGACGTCATCCTGTCAATTCAAAGATTTAGCTTATCGCAGTCATCAAGCACAACCTGCACAGATTTAGAACCAGTTTCAGGGAGGGAAATAAAGATTACGTCACGTGGTACTGGCATGCTAGATAATGCACCGATTGCTTACTGCGTATGAGTTCCTCAGCGGTGACTCCCGAAACAACCTTAATAAATCACTAAACACCAACGGCTTCACAAAACGTGAATTGATCTGGAGGTACATGCTGCATCACGCCACCGCGAGTGCTGCTGTGTGATGTCTCTTCAACGTTACACTCTCGCCCGTACGTTATACGCCAGACGAGGACAAGGAGAAAACCTCTTCAAAAATCATTTGCCACGATTGCATCGCGAAGGTTTCTGGCACCAAACTTGCGCCGGCACTGTTGGCGACCGATTCATTCTCGCCGTAAATACATCGATTGTATTCTGCCCGGGGTAGCACTTTTGCCTCCCTCTCTAAGTGTATATAGCAGCTGCCATAGCTTCATAGTAAAGCGTATCTAACATATGCATATGTGCGCATGGCCAACATCGTATTGCCCGCTATTTTCTGGGGACAAAACAACTTCTCTAGTGCCTCTGTGGAATCCTTGTGACTGCCTATCTTGAGGCTATATGCACCCTGTCGCCATTCGTGCCTAGTTATGTGATATATAGTGTGTCCCATAGAGGCATGAGATCCCCGTGACATGTTCTTAATGAATAGATATTATTAAAATGGTTGTTTGTGTTTGAAGCCAGCTCAAAAGCGCATCATTTACTACACGCTGGTTTGTGAAATTCGGTCGATTCTCGAGAAACCAAGCACGTATCGCATTCGGGTCTATTCCGGTTAGGAGGGCATCATGGTGGGGTGACTCCTAAAAAGCTACGGTAACTCTGAGCCAGCGCGGTGAGTGAGCCAGGCCTAGGGCGGTGGTGCAGGGTTAGTCACTTGACATGGCCGGTGCAGAAGCTGGAAGGGTTTCGAGTTTTACATTTAGCTTCGCCTGGAGAACTTTGCATCTGATTGTTTCCCCCAACCAACTTGGAATTTGACGCTCGCATTTCCTCTGAAAAAATTCGTGCACGGATGCCTTCAACAAACGCGATGAAACGAAGGACAAAGCATAGGGGACAAGCCTAGGCACTGCAAACGGTATAGTCCTCTGTGCACTTTACATTTCAGCGCACGTGAAGGCATGTCATCCTAAATGCATATTTTCGTGTTTAAAAGGGGACCGCATTATAAAAGACTCAAGTATCCTCCGTCTGCGCACGCGCCGCATGTCTTCGACCACCACAATTGCAACTCTGCTTCGTCAAGGTAAGAGTGTCGCCGGTGGACTGACTGCGCGAAACACGTTGCCACATACTGGATGGTGTTTGACCTTCGGTGGGCGGGTGACCTATCTTGTTGACCGGGCAAAGTGCGTTTTCCGGCTTCATGGCACCTTGACCGCGAAGGTATTGCTGCGACGGGCTCAAAATGGCACCCCACCGGAATCGCTCAGACCAAATGCTACGAAGCCCTTGCAAAAATTGCAAAAATGGTTCTAGTACCAGCGTCAGGCCCAGGTTGACAGGCCGGCTGATGAATACCCCAGTCACACCAATCATGTCTAAAAGTTGTCAAAGAATCAGTGATAAAGCTAGGACGTCACCCGGAAGTGGCGCGCAGAACCCCCGCCCGAGTTCTGTGGTCAGTATGCGAGGGCTACCGAGGAGTGAACGGCCTCGGCCAAAGAAGCTTAGTCGAAATTAGGGACTCTTAACGTGGGATCGCTAACTGGGAAGTCCCGAGAGGTTGCTGACCTGATGACGCGCAGGAATATCCAAGTCCTATGCCTTCAGGAGACGCGATGGAAAGGTGCTAAGGCCAGGGAAATCGGGGAAGGTGTCAAGCTCTACTACAATGGAGAAGACACCAAGCGGAACGGCGTGGCCATAGCGGTAGCGGAGTCGCTCAAGGACTATGTCTCCGCTGTGAACAGGATCAGCGATCGGATCATGGCTGTGAGGATAGACACGAAGGAGGGGTACTGGACCATACTCTCCGTGTACGCACCGCAAGCCGGGTGCCCCGAAAGTGATAAGGACGAGTTCTATCTGAGCCTGGACGAAGCCATAAGATCGGTTCCGGAAGGCGATTACCTGACCATAGCAGGTGATCTGAATGGCCACGTCGGCAGTGATAGAAAAGGCCTAGAGAGGGTGCACGGAGGTAGAGGGATAGGATCGAGGAACGCTGAGGGAGAGAGGGTTCTGGACCTGGCTACGGCCCACGACTTGGCAGTCTGCAGCACGTTCTTCGCGAAAAGGAAGTCTCAAAAGGTAACCTACAGCAGTGGAGGGAGACAGACGGAAATTGACCATGTGCTGGTGAGAAGATCAACCCTCAAAACTGTGAAGGATATCAAAGTTCTACCCGGCGAAGACCTGGCTCCCCAGCACAGGCCCCTCCTGGCAGACATTGCGATAGACCTCCCCAAGAAGACAAGGGTAAGAACTGAGAGGAGAATCCGGTGGTGGAAGCTGCACCAAGCGGAGAAGGATGAACCGGATGCCATCTGGCTATGCGAGGAAGGATCACATGAAGGTCGGGTTTCTCTCCCCAGAAATTTCCTAACAGAGCGCCAGTCTACACATGGGGACTTGGGGACAGCGGTGAAGGACATTTCCTTGCGATGTGCCAAGGGAGGTCCCCTCGCACGGTGAGGAGACGGCAGGTGGAGCTCAGAGGCAGACAACCGGCAGGCTGTTCTGGAACGAGGAGGTCCAGCGAGTCGTGAAGAGGAAGAAGGAAGCATACAAACGCTGGCAGAAGAGCCGAAGTCCCGAGAACTTCGCTGCCTACAAAACCTGCAAGAGGCTTGCGAAGGCTGCCGTCGCAAGGGCAAAGAACACAGAAATGGACGCCCTGTACGAGAAGTTGGAGAGCCGAAACGCAGAGAAGTTCGTCTTCAGGCTGGCTAAGGCCCGGCATCGTGCTACCCAAGACATCAGGGTGGTGAAAAGTGTGAAAGGCAGAGATGGTGTCATCCTAAGGAAGCCAGCCGAAGTCAAAAGGAGGTGGGAAGAGTACTACAGTGCACTTCTGAACGAGGAGTTCCCCCACGAGAACAACTCACGGGCAGAGGCCACAGCTGGTCCCATCGCACTCTGGACTGAGGATGAGGTTAGGTGTGCACTTGGGAGGATGAAGATTGGGAAGGCGGTTGGCCCAGATGGGGTGCCAATCGAGGCTTGGAAGGCGCTCGGTGAGTACGGGATAAGATGGCTCACACGATTCCTCAACAACATAACTGCGGAAGGAAGGATGCCAGATGCCTGGAGAACAAGTACTATCGTCCCCATCTTCAAGCAGAAGGGTGACGCGATGGACTGCTCCAACTACCGCGGGATCAAGTTGACTGCTCATACAATGAAGCTGTACGAGCGACTGGTCGACTCGAGACTGCGGGAGCTGGTCCCCATCTCCCAGGAACAGTTCGGGTTCATGCCGAAAGGTCTACGACGGATGCCATCTTCATCGCAAGGCAAGTGATGGAGAAGTATCGAGAGAAAAGCGCCGACCCTGTTACCTAGCCTTCCTCGACCTTGGAGAAGGCGTTCGACCGGCTACCACGAGCGAGTACTGTGGAGA